TTTTCAAAATAACTAGAAGAGTCTTGAAGGTTTCCAACCCACAGAGATGACAAATGTTTGAGAAGATGAAAATACTAATTACCTTGATTTGATTATTGTACATTATATACACCATATTAAATTATACTATAGTATAGTATAATTATGTACATAAATATGTACATATATGTGTCCATTTAAAAAGTAAAAAAAGGCATTTTTCCTTTAAGTCTTTCAAGAATTCACCTATGAATTTATCTGTATATAGATATTTTTAGAAAGGTTCAAATTTCATAATCAATTTATAAAAAAATGATAAAACCACACAGACTTTTCTATTTCTTGCTTATCAGGTTTGATAAGTTTCATTTTTTTCAAGGAGTTTGTCTAATTCATCTAAATTATCCAAGTTCTTTGGCACATATACACTTATTACCTTTTTAAAAATATTTTTAGTTGTAGATGGACACAATATCTTTATTTTTATGTGGTGCTGAGGATTCAACCCAGTGCCTCACACATGCAATGCAGGTGCTCTACCGCTGAGTTACAGCCCCAGCCCTTATTACCTTTTTTTTTTTTTTTAATGTCTGAGCATCTTCAGCAACATACTCAATATCATTCCTAATACAGATAATTAGTATTCTCCCCCTACATCCTGCTTTTTCTCTCTTCCATGTGTACTCTTAGTCTTGCTAGAAATTTATCAATTTTATTGACATTTTCAAAAATTTACCTTATTGTTTTTTCTTTATATACATATATATATATATATATATTTATTTTTAGAGAACTTTTTAATATTTATTTTTTAGTTTTCGGCAGACACAACATCTTTGTTTGTATGTGGTGCTGAGGATCGAACCTGGGCCGCATGCATGCCAGGCGAGTGCGCTACCGCTTGAGCCACATCCCCAGCCCTATATATTTATTTTCTACATATCAATTTCTCTATCACTTTCTTCTCTTATCCTTCTAATTTCCTGGGGTTTAACTTTCTTTTCTTTTAGCTTCTTAAGATTGAAGCTTAGATCAATGACTTCTCAGTCTTTCTTCTTTTCCAAAATGTGCATGTGCTTGTGGATGTATCAGCTTCCCTCTGGACACTGCTTTAGCAATATTCTGTAAGTTTTGATGTGTCATGTTTTCATAGTCATTTATTTAAAAGTATTTTCTAATCTCCATTATAATTTCTCCTTCTACCTATGAGTTATTTAGAAGCAATGTCTTCAAATAGTTTAGAATTTAGTTTTTTTTGTTTGTTTGTTTGTTTTAATTCCTAATTAATCCTGGGTCAGAGAATGTATTCTATATTATTTCAGTCTTTTAACATTTGTTGATAACTATCTTTGTAGCCTAACATATAATATGTGCACAAAAATGTTTTCTGCAGTTGTTAGGTACAGATTCCTATATAGGTCAATTAGATCAAATTGATTAATTATGCTGTTTAAATCTTCAAAATCCTTACTGATTTTTTTTGTCTGTTTGTTCCAGCAGTTATTGAGATAGCTGTGTTAAAATCTCTAACTAAAACTGCCTCTTTCTCTTTTCAGTTCTGTCACTTTTACTTTGTGTATTTGGAAGCTATGTTATAAATGTGTACATATTTGCATATATAAATTTATGCATATAAATTTAGGAATGTTTTTCTGTTGAATTGACTCATCATTAAAAATGTCCCTTTTATTTCTAGTAATATTTCATGATTACAGTCTATTCTCTTGGAAATTAATAGCAACATCAGCTTTTTTTGGTTAGTGTGTGCATGGTGTACATTTTCCTTTCCTTTTATCCTTTATTTCAACCTTTTTTGTGTCCTTACATGTATAGTATGTAGTTGTGTTTTCAAAATCCAATGTGAAAATGCTTTTTTTTTTTTTAAGTATTGGGGATTGACCCCAGGGCCTTCCACATGGTAGGCAAGTGCTCTAACACTTGGCTATATCCCCAGCCCTTTTAAAATTTTTATTTTGAGACAGAGCCTTGTTAAATTGCCTAGACTGGCCTTGAACTTGCTATCCTCTTGAGCAGCTCTTGAGTAGCCAGGATTACAGGTGTGTATTACCATGCCTAATACTTGCTTTTCTTCTAATGTCTCTGCATTTAAAGAAGGAGCTTTAGGAGGCAATGTTAACCTAGAGGATAAGTGTTAAGAGTGGAATTTCAGAGTGTGTGGCTCAGTACATCCTCAGAAAACACAACATCCCATATGATAGCACTAACAACAGGAATAACAACAATATTAATATAACAGCTAATACTTGTATTTGTCTTTACAGTACGCTAGGTACTTCATACACACACTAAGCTCTGAGATATATTTTGTAATCTATTTTAACCATGAATATGAACATAGATAAACACTAAAACAGTCACTTGTTGTTTTGTTTTGTGTCTATCAGTCCCTCCAAATTCCACTAGAATCCTCTCCTCACTTCTGTAACACTCCCAAGACAGGCTCTCCTAACTCCCCTTACCAGCATCCGGCTCCAAACACAAGCAGTCTGGTTCAGTGATACAGTAGGCCTCCTAGTCACCTGCCCTGCTTCCTGATATCTTAGTATCCCTGCTTTCAACTACACTGCTGGGTAGCTGCTTGGGGGAGGTAGGACCTTCAGGGTGTACCCTAGCTGCTCCATTCTCAGCCTCAGCCACAGCCCACAAAGTGTGCACCTCTGCATGCCTTAACCATCTTTGGCACAATGTAGATGCTCAATGACTATTTGTAGAATGAGGTTGAAAGGAAAAATGAAGGGTCTTATGATTATATGAACATAGATACACAGGTGAAGCCATGCGTGCTTTCAGGATTCCCCCACTGCGGGGGCGGAGGGAAGAGGACACCAGCCCCTTCACAATCCCGCACATCCCTTCTTCCTCTTCTTCCCCATCTAGCCAGTGCGAGTCAGTCCTAGGGAGGAGTTACAGTGATGAATCCCTTTCCATTTGCGCAGGCAAAGGTAAAACCCTGTGTCTCTTGGCATCCTCACCAGTCGCCATACAGCTATGCAAGGGCACAGAGGCGCCCCATCCCCTGGTCCACTGTGCGCTCGCTCTCTCACTCTCCTTGGATATCAATCGGGTACCAGGGAGTGAGGTGGTGGTTGGAAGAGGGTTTACATCTTTTCTTTACCTTACTCTCCTTCCCAGCCTCCAGATGCTGCTCCTTCGGGCTACTCAGCTGCAGCACACACATTCCGTGGATGGACGCTGCCCGCGCGCTCCCGCAGCTTCGTCACTGTAACTCGCCCGGATGAACGGACCGAGTGGGGATCCCATCAATTGCTGGTGACACCTCCCCCTCCCGGCCTGGGAGTTACCTGGGGTCCGGGTGATTCCCACCCTGTCCCGGGCAGCTGCGCCTTCCGATTGGGTAGCAGGTCGAGCTTGCGGGACTCCATTGGCAATAACGCCCAAGTCTTTTTTTTTTTTTTTTTTTTTTGTATATGTGTGTGTGTGTGAGATCCCAAGCAGGGCTTTTAACGGGCAGCGCGGAACCGAAAGAGGGCGGGTGATACACGAGCACTTCAGGGCCTCGGTCACACTTCAGGGCCAGGGACGTCACGAGTCACGGCCACCGCCCCATCCCCCCGCCCCGGGGGCTGGGGGACTCCGGCTCGTGGCGGTTCCCGGCCCGGCTTCCAACGGCCACGCGCGCGTTTTGCGCGTGCGCACTAACTCGGTCTCCCGCCTTCCACGCGGTGGGTGAGGCGGCGGGTGGGGCGGGGTGGGACGGCGTGAGGCGGGAGGGGCGGGGAGGGAGGGTTAGGGAATGATTCCCCGGAGTGGAGCCAGTGGGCCACCCGCCAGGGCAGGTGGCGATGTCTGAGCAGAAAGGGATTCCGTTAATAATTTCGCTCAGGGGCGCGAGGGAGCGGCTGAACAATCAGTTGAGGCGGCTCAGCAAGGCCCTCACCCCAGGAGGCGCCGTTCAGGCCTCCATCCGCTGGCATTCGCCGGAGCCGGGCTGCAAGAGGGCGCAGGTGCAGCGAGAGAAAGTGAAAATGTGGGTGCCCTGGAACGGGCTAATCGTGATTGGAAAGAGGGTGGAGCTTCTGGGCAGAAAGACGCAAAAGCCTAGAACGTGGGACCCGAGGGTTGGTCCTGAGAACTTGCGACCAGAAAGTGTGGGAAAGACCGTCTTGAAAGAGAAGGCAGGCCTGAGTCAGGAAGGGACTGGCAGTAGTACAGCAGATGCATTGCAGGATTCTGCAAGAGAGATTTGGGGAAAACAAGACGTCAAACGCAAAATTGGAGCTGAATCTAACGCTTCAGGGATGACCGCAGAGTCTAGGAAGGGGTGGTCTCTGTCTGAAGAGATGCCCACGTCTACTGGGAATAACGTGGGGACCAGTGGAGAGGACTTGAGATCCAGAGAATATCAATTGCAGCAGAACGAGGGGCAGAAGTTGAGTGGAGAGAAGCGGGAGTCCAGGGGAGAGAAACGGGGGTCCACTGTAGAGAAGCGGGGGTCCACTGTAGAGAAGCAGGGGTCCACTGCAGAGAAGCGGGGGTCCACTGCAGAGAAACGGGGTTCCATTGCAGAGAAGCCAGTGTACAGCGGAGAGAAGCGGGGGTCCAATGGAGAGAACCCAGTGTACAGGAGAGAGAAGCGGGGGTCCAGTGGAGAGAAGATGAGGTTGAGTAGAGAGAAACTAAGGTCCAGTGAAGAGAAACCAAGGACTGATGGAGAGGATTCGAGATCCATTGGAGATAAAGCGGGGTCAAGTGAAGAGAAACTGGAATCTAATGGAGAAAAACTGAGCAGAAGTGAAGAGAACATTGAAAGAGTGATAGAAATTACTGGTGATGAAAGAGGGATAGAATTTACAGATGAGGAGATGGAAATTCCTTCTGAAAGTACAAAAATGAGAGATGAAGAACTAGAAGGGATTGAGGAAGGAATAGAAATTGATGAGGATAGCCTTCATGAAGTGAAAGATATTACTGGTGAATTCGTTTCTATGGAAGAGAAAAATATTACAGGGGAAGGTCCCAGTGGATGAGGCAGATGAAGGATTGCAGCTAAAGAAGGAGATATCCAGGTAGGGGAACTATTGAAAGTCAAAGAGGAGACATTAGAGTCATTATTAGAGACATTATTGATCTTGAAGGGGTAAAGAAGAGTGAGGAAAGAAGAGTCTAGAAAGAAGGATGTGGGAATGGAGCAGAGCTACTGGGCATGAAGGCAGAGCCAGTACCAGTGGAAGGGAAAAAAAATAGTGGTAAAGAGGAAAATAAGAACATTCTGAGGAGAAAGAATAGATTTGGTAATGATAGAAGAAAATTGGATTTGGGGTTCTTAAATAGCTCTTTGAGAAGTGGCTTTAGGATGGGCTAGAAGGATTTCATCTGACACATAATTAGGGAGACAATATGCAGGCATGGCCTGATGAGAAGAATTACAACAGGATAAAGGATAGATATCGAGGGCTGTGGAAGAAGCAGCAGGCCTGGAGTAAGCAAAATGAAAATGGATCCTGAAGAATGAGTGGCTCCAAAGTTACAAAAGCAAGTGAAGAGGAGATGAGCAAATGAAGGGGAAAAAACTCAAAAAGTAAGACGCCATATTCCATAATGATGGTTATGTTTGTTGGTTTTAAATTTACTTCCTTCACTATTTCTGTACTGGCCACTCCCATGAAGCCAGTTTTACCATCTACTGTGACAGGCCTCTTGCAGGGTCCTATACACATCTGGATCAAATTCATCCTTATGGATCTTCTAAATAGCACCAGAGTTGTACCCAGAATAATTGCTGGGCTGCACTGTTTAACCTACTTTAGCAGGGCCAGTATGTCACAGGGTACCCCGACCTCCACCCCAAATTTGAATTACCCATGCTTGAGATGGGGTTAGTTCAATTATTTGTACCTGCTCTTTCTTCCTTCCTTCCTTCCTTCCTTCCTTCCTTCCTTTCTTTCTTTCTTCCTTCCTTCCTTCCTTTCTTTTTCTTTCTTTCTTTCATGTGCCATTGTGTCCAGCAGAATATTTAGTTTTTTTTAATATTTATTTTTTACAACCTGTACACTCAGAAAAATGAGAAATTATATCCCATCTGATTCAAATGTATGATATGTCAAGATCATTGTACTGTCATGTGTAACTAATTAAAACAAATTAAAAAATGCAAAAACAATATTTTTTAATTGTAGTTGGACACAATACACTTATTTTATTTATTTATTTTTATGTGGTGCTGAGGATCGAACCCAGTGCCTCACACATGCTAGGCGAGCGTTCTACCGCTGAGCCATAACCCTAGTCCCCTGCTTTTTGTTTCTGTCTTTGACATCTTATTTATTTATTTATTTAGTTTTAGTTAGGTGGGCACAATATCTTTTTTTTTTTTAATATTTATTTTTTAGTTTTCGGCGGACACAACATCTTTGTTTGTATGTGGTGCTGAGGATCGAACCCGGGCCACACGCATGCCAGGCGAGCGCGCTACCGCTTGAGCCACATCCCCAGCCCCCAATATCTTTTTATTTTTTATTTTTATGTGGTGTTGAGGATTGAACCCAGCTCCCCGCGCATGCCAGGCGAGTGCATTACCGCTTAAGCCACATCCCCAGCCTTTTGACTTCTTTTTTAATATTTATTTTTTAGTTGTAATTGGACACAATACCTTTATTTATTTTTATGTAGTGCTGAGGATCGAACCCAGAGCCTCACATGTGCTAGGCAAGCACTCTACCGTTGAGCTAAAACCCCAGCCCCTATCTTTGATTTTTTTAAAAAATATTTTTTTAGTTGTCAACGGACCTTTATTATTTTTCTTTATTTATATGCAGTGCTGAGAATCGAACCCAGTGCCTCACACACGCTAGGCAAGCGCTCTACCACTGAGCCATAACCCTAGCCCATTGATCTTGACTTTTAATTATTTATCTAATCACATGAGGTTTTCCACAGCTCCCCTGTATCTCATTAAGGGTCTTCTTTTTATGTTATACACTCTCTACTCTTATCCCAAGGAGGAGAGAAGGTCCCCTGAGTGTCTAATGTGAAGACTTCCATGTTAAGTCCAAGTCTTAACTTGGTCTGTTGGATTGTTTGTCTCTTGGGCAAGAATGTAAGAGGTGGCTAAAAGCAGAAATAGGATGAAAGAAACACTTACCATTTTTATCCTCTGTGTACTTTTAAAAGCCTGCCAAATTTCTGAGTAGAAACTTTATCCTAACACAAATATCATAACACAAACATATAATAGCTGGTGTTATTGATTATATTTTCTGCATACTCTTGGGTAATTTGTCCCAAAGACTCCAGAAGATCATTAAACCCCTTGCCATATTTTTGTTCATGTAGTCTAATCTAACAGAAAATCAATGGTCCTTGTTTCCCCCTCTCTCCTCTTCTTCCTCCTCTTCTTCCTTTCTCTCTCATCTCTCCCTGCCCCCCTCCTTTCTTTCCCTCCTTCCTTCTTCCTTCCATCCTTCAAAATGTTTAAATTAAAATGCTTATTTTACTCCCTTATTCTTAGTCAACTGCATCATCTAATGGCTTCCAAAAAAGGGACCATGGGAGGTAAACTTTGTGATAACTGAATCTGTCTGAAAATATTATTCTTTTCTCATATTTGATTAATAGTTTAGCTAGGTATAGATTCTAGGTTAGGAATATTTTTCCCATAGAATTTTAACTTCTAACACTATCTTCTAACTCCAAATGTTGCCATTCAAGATGTTGTTCAAGATGTTGCTGTTCTTTTTTTTTTTTAAGGTACTGGGGGTTGAAACTAGGGGTGCATTACCACTGATCTACATCCTTAGGTCTTTAAAAAAAATTTTTTTTTTTAATTTTAAGACAGAGTCTTGCTAAGTTGTTGAGGGCCTTGCTAATTTGCTGAGGCTGGCCTTGAGCCTTGGCCTTGAGATCCTTCTGACAGCCTCCTGAGTCACTGGGATTACAGGCATGTGGCATTGCATCTGGGTGTTCTTTTATTTTGACTGTAAGGATATATTTTTCTTTCCCATGAAAATTACCTGTTTTCCGGGCTGGGAATGTGGCTGAAGCGGTAGCGCGCTCGCCTGGCATGCGTGCGGCCCGGGTTCGATCCTCAGCACCACATACAAACAAAGACGTTGTGTCCGCCGATAACTAAAAAATAAATATTAAAAATTCTCTCTCTCTCTCTCTCTCTCTCTCTCCCCCCCCCCTCCCTCCCTCTCTCACTCTCTCTTTAAAAAAAAAAAAATTACCTGTTTTCTGTCACTTCATGGCTAAACCTATATACTCATCCCTGCTGCGTTCCTCGACACTAAAACACTCAGGATCACTCCAGGGGAACTGGGCTGCATGAAATAACTACACAAGAGACAGAGATACCTTTTTCTTTAGGTGTCCTGTGACGGCTCCTCTGACCTTAAGGGTCCACAGAAAGAGAGAGAGAGAGAGCCAACACATGCTGACCCTTTTATTGAGAAGAAGCCATTCAAATGAGGCCAGGGGTCAGGTTTCAGGGGGCTGAGTCTAACTTCATGATGTCTGCTGTCAGCAGGTTGACTGACATCTAGGAAGGCCACACCCAAAGGCAGAACAAGAGAAGGGGACACACAAAGGGTATTTCCATGGAACATTCTATCCCAAACAGGGCAAGGGAGTAATATCACAAAGGGACAGGTGAGCATAGCTCCACCCCTGGGGTTGCAGGAAGGCACGCCTATGCATGAAGACACATTCTGCTATTTCGAGGGTGGGGGGGCAGTGTCTGGGGCCACTATGAATGTGGCCAGATCACTATGAAAATGACCCACAGAGCCTCCACTGATCACGAGAAGAAATGCTGGTCACTCAGCGCGACGGCCCTCCCACATCCCATTTTCTGTTGATGTTGGAACTTGAATTATGCATCTTATCCTTTTATCTTTCTTTTTGTTCTACTCTTTGGTCAAGCTCATTAACCTTACCCTTTCTATTGAATTTTTGAATTTTATTTTTTTTAATATTTATTTTTTAGTTATAGGTGGACACAATATCTTTATTTCATTTTTATGTGGTGCTGAGGAACGAACCCAGTACCTCATGCATGGTAGGCAAGTGCTCTACCTCTGAGCCACAACCCCAGCCCCATGAGTTTTTGAATTTTAATGTTTAAATTTTAAATTGTTGTCACTGTTTCTATTGTGTGTGTGTGAGAGAGAGTGTGTGTGTGTGTATAGCATTGTCCTCTTGTTTTGTGTGCATATTCTCTTAGCTCTCTTAGGGAGAGGAAGGGAGAAAAAAATGAATTGATAGAGTCTGTTAGGTTTCACTACATGAACTATATTTTTTCTGTTTTTGTTTTTTTTTTTTTCTGTTTTTCACACTGTTTCCCCTGATTTTGCCTCCCCTTTTTTTTCTTTTGAAGTGTATGTATGCTGTTGGAGATTTTCTTCAACAGCTTGCTTTTCATATTTGATACTGAGACATTAAGCAGAGCTAATTGGAAACTATTCACATAGATGGGGCATGTCGACTGATGGGCTTCACCCTATTGTGGGTGACTGGGACAAGCAGAATTTTTTTCTGGGTACCCCCAAGTGTCAGAATGTGTAGATCATATTGTAGGGACTATTTGGTTTCTCCAGAGAATTTTCCAGTTACCTGCATGGGGGAATACTTATGGGGCCACAATGTTGAGATTGTAGCAATAGGGAAGGGGGTATAGGGCTGTAGATGTAGATGTAGTAAGATATATACATTTTATCGCAGTTTTTATGTTTTCAGCTCAATGGTAAAAAAAAGTTGGGGAGGGGATTTGTGAATTTAATTGTTTTTTTGGTACTGGGAATTGAATCCAGGTCACTTAATCACTGAGCCATATCCCCATCCCTTTTTATTTTTTATTTTGAGACAGGATCTCACTTAATTGCTGAGGCTGGCCTTGAACTTTTGATCCTCCTGCCTCAGCCTCCCGAGATGCTGGGATTACAGGCATGTACCACTGCGCCCACATTTAATTGCTTTATGTACAGACTTCTAAACAGTTTTCCTGCTTCCAGCTCCATGTCCTTGTTCTATCAGAGGTGTCTGGTCTCTCCAGGTCCTGAACATTGGTGAAAGATGACTGTTATATTTTTTGCATACATTCTCCTCTTTAGGCATTTGAGTGTGTGTGTGTGTGTGTGTGTGTGTGTGTGTGTGTGTTGCTGGGGATTGAACCCAGAGTCTTGTGCATGCAAGGCAAGCACTCTACCAACTAAGCCATATCCCCAGGCTCTCTTTAGGCATTGGAGTCGCAGAATCTTCTACTGGGCTATTAGTTCCATTCCATCTTCCAAAGCTGGTTGACATCTCTAATCCACCTCATTGTTTTGTGGGTTTATAACATTTTTCTTTCTTTTTTTTAATATTTAGTTTTTAGTTGTAGTTGGACACAATACCTTTAGTTTGTTTATTTATTTTTATGTGGTGCTAAGGATCAAACCCAGGGTCTCGCACGTGCGAGGCGAGTGCTCTACCGCTGAGCCACAACCCCAGCCTCATTTTTATTTCTTTATTTTCATCTAACTGGGGTTTAGAGATAAATACATGAATGTATTCAGTCTGCCACATTGCAGAACCTTGCTTTTCCTCTTAATGATTTTTCCTATGTGAGAATAGTTAACATAGTAAACAAGTCACTGTACTATTGTGTCAGGGTCTCATTAAGTTATGTAGTGCCTCACTAAATTGCTGAGGCTGGCTTTGAACTTGTGATCCTTCTGCCTCAACCTCCTGATCTGCTGGGATAACAGGTGTGAGGAACCATGCCTGGTTGTTATTGTTTTTTGAGACTGGGTCTCACTTTGTATCCCAATCTGGCCTCCAATACCCACACTTGAGAAATCTTCTACCTCAGTCTCCCCAATAGCTGGAACTACAGGCATATCACCTTTTGAATGTTTTCATTTAGATGGAAAAATAAAAAGATTAAAACAATGAAGCTGGGAGCAATGACACATGCCTATAATCCCAGTGGCTCAGGAGGCTGATGCAGGAGAATCACAAGTTTGAGACCAGCCTCAGCAACCTAGTGATACCCTGTCTCAAAATAAAAAATAAAAATGGTTGGGGATGTGGCTCAATGGTAAAGTACCCCTGGGCTCAATCCCCAGTACCACAAACAAAAAATTGCTTTTGTTGGCTCAGGATATACTCAAGGGTTTACTAGTTGGATGAGATTGTTAACATTTATTTATTTAGGAGCTGGGATGGAACCCAGGGCCTTGCATATATGCTAAACACACTCCACCATGGAGGTACCCTCAGCTCCTGTTAACTCTTTTAATCTACACAAGTCTACCTCTTGTCTTGTTTTTAACAGTTTGACTTTTTTCAGGAATCCAGGCATTTTTTTTCTCTCTCTCTTTGGTTCCAGGGATTGAGTATGTCCAGGGCTTGTATGTAACAAGGTAAATGCTCTACCACTGAACTATACCATCCAGGTCCCCTCCCTTTAAAAAAAAAATTGTATAGGGTCTCCCTAGGTTGCCCAGGCTGACCTTGAACTTGAGATCTTCCTGTCTCAGCCTCCTGAAAAGCTGGGGTTACAGGCACGCAGCCTCATGCCCAGCCCAGGCCAGTTCCACCTTCTGGATTTATCTGAGTGGGTTCTGAGGATGGCAGGTGGTTCCATCTTCTACCTGCTGCAATTCCTGTAGTTTTTCAACTGAAAGTTGGAGTTCAGGATCCTCATTTTTCTTTCTCTGTCACTTTCCTCTTTGATTAAGTTTCCTCCTGTAGTTGTTTGTTACTATAAAGTAAATTCCATGGAGCAGCAGCAAGTGTCTGTGGGGACCTGTTCTGGCCTGCTGAATGAACAGCACAATAGTAGGCACTCAGGATGTATTTGTGGAATGAATGAATCCTTCACATTCAGTGGCTTTACTAGTCTTAGTATCATTTAACATCTATTGAAAAAAAATCACTGTAATAATTTACCCTGTTTCTGAGAATGCCTCTTGTTTTCAAAGGCCTCAAAGTCTGAAAATGTCTTTATTCCACACTTGAACTTGAGGTTTGTCCAGGCCCAGGATTTGCTCTCTACTATGTGGCAGACTGAAGGCGCTCTTTGTTTCCTTCCTTCCAGTGCAGCCACTGGAGTCCAGATCTATTTTTATGCCGGAACCAGTTGCAGGGCTGGCCTTTATGTGGATGTGGCCTCTTTTTTTCTCTCTATCTCCACTCTTTCTGCCTTTTCCTTGGTGAGAAGTTGAATGCTTTCTCCTTCTTCAGTTCCCATAGATGGACAATAGAGATACTAAGAATATATGAAGTTGTAAAGATAAACTCCATATAGCTCAAGCCTAGTAGCAGAATTTAAAAAAAAAATTTTTTTTTTAGTAGATGGACAAAATATCTTTATTTTATTTTTTATTTATATGTGGTGCTGAGGATCGAACCCAGTGCCTCACACTTGCTAGGCAAGCGCTCTACCACTGAGCCACGACCCCAGCCCAGGATCTTTTTGATGAATGATAATAAAAGCTAATATTTCCTAAACTCTTGTCATAATCAGAGTATTTAATAGGTACCATGATAGAACACTTTACCTGTTCTTTATCATTTAATCTTTCCTACAGCTTTTTGCAGTAAGAACCATTAGTCTGGAGCTGGGGTTCTGGCTCATTGGTAGAGCGCTTGCCTAGCATGTGTGAGGCCCTGGGTTTGAGCCTTAGCATTCCATAAAAAATAAATATATAAAATAAAGGTATTATGTCCAACTACAACTAAAAAAAAAATATTAAGAAAAAAAGAACCATTATCTATCAAGCGCACCAACTAGAAACTGCAAGAGCCAGGCCATCCCAGAGAGCCTCACCCCAGAGCACCCGAAAAGCTCTCTGTTGAACTGCTGCCCCCATTCCTTCTAGACCAACCCCAGAAATCAGTTTACCAGGCTGCCAAAGCAAGCTCTGCTGTGCTGCTTGGGGGAGGAGGGGGAGATGAGGTTGAGTCACAACCTTCCATTCATTTGGTGAATGCTTTGTGGCAAGTTTTTAAGAATACAAATTCTAAAACAATTATGTTTATTTTCTTCCCCAGGTCTGTGCCTCCCAGAGAGGATGGCTTCCAGCCTCCTTTCTTGACTCTTCAGCTGAGGAATTATTCTCTCTCATAAGAGGCTTGCATGGACACAAGGGCAAGGTTCAGGCAGTTCCCCGTGTGTGAAAACCTCTCAGACTGGCACGTTGTATAAATTATGACCCAAAACATCAGATTTCTGTTCTTTGTCTGAATGACATTTTCACCTGGGAAATCATGCATTCCATGGAGGCCACAGAAAGACAAGTGAATGTCAAGGCTCTGTGACAAATGCCAGCCACCTGTAAGTGCATATTTTCAACTATCTAGGTAGTTAGAGTTTTAAATATAACATCTTTTTATGCTAAAATGAACCAAAATGCACACATTCCAGGGAACTTAAGGCTTTTTTTTTTTTTTTTTTTTTTTTTGGTGCTAGGGATTGAACTCAGGGGTACTCAATCACTGAGCCACATCCTCAGCCCTATTTTGTATTTTATTTAGAGACAGGGTCTCACTGAGTTGTTTAGCGCCTTGCCTTTGCTGAGGTGGGCTTTGAATTTTCAACTCTCCTGCCTTAACCTCCTGAGCCACTGGGATTACAGGCATGTGCCACTATGCTTGGCAAGTTGAGGGCTTTCAATTGATTTCTTTGGCTGGGTGTTGGGGAGTACTGGGTATAGAACCCAGGGGCATTTTACCACTGAGCTATATCCCCAGCCCTTTTTTATTTTTATTTTTGTTTTGAGACAGAATCTCACTAAACTGCCCAGGATGGCCTTGAACTTTTGATCCCCTGCCTTAGCCTCCAGAGTTCTTGCTGGGATTACAGGCAAGTATTGCAGCACCTGCTCTTTTAAGTGATTTTTATGGGCCTTTTTTTTTTTTTTTTTTTTTTTTTTTTTTTTTTTTTTTTT